AGAGACATGACATCCCTCAATGACCCAGTAGCCCTACAGGGGACAACACTGGAGACACAGTGTGGGAATCCCGCCCAATCTGATCCCACCACACCGAAGCAAAACACTAAGTGTGTGCAAAAGAACAGCAAGGGGAGCAGAGTAATGAAGTCCCTGGGGAATACCAAACATAAACTTTGGGGCCAGGGCTTGGCAGCCCAACAGACTCGACTGTAAAACAGTCCTAAAGGCCAACACACAGTCCTTGAACTACATACAAGCTTTTCTTTCTTGTGTCTTCTTTTGTTTTTAGTCTTTGGTTTGTTGTTTGGTTTTATTTTGTTGCTTAGTTTTGCTCTGTCTTGTTTTTGTGCATGTTATTATCTCTGCAGGTCTGTCTAAGTAAGATAGGCTCGGTGAACCATGTGGAGGAGAAAACAACGGGACCAACAGTCGCGGGGGGACATGGCAGAGGGGGAGGTTGGGGGAAAGGTAGTGGTGTTAACAAACCCAGGGACAAAGAAACCACAAGTGATCCAAATCGGTGGACAGGAGTGTGTAGGAGGCCTGGTAGGGCATGATCAAGGGTAATGTAACCAAGAGAAATTTCTGAAACCCAAATGAAGAATGAGCGTGATAGTGGGACAAGAGGAAAGTCAAAGGAAATAGAGGAAAGAGCTAGGAGGCAAAGGGAATTTATAGAGGGCTCTATAAAGGCATGTACATATGTAAATATATTTATATATGAGGATAGGGAAATAGATTTTTCTGCATATATTTATAGGTTTAGTAATAAGGTAGCAGATGGAAATTGGGCCTCTATTCAATGCCTCCACTCCCTCAATGCAAGAATACTTTTTTCTATTAAACTGGCATTCTATGATGCTCACCTTCCTGACACGATCTTCAAAGACAAAGCGGTGCAAAAGCAAATGTGGTGAAGAAAGCCGATGGTGCCCGGCTATCAAAAGATAAAGCGTCTGGGGTCTCAAAGTCCCTAAGGCAAACAAGCGGCCATCTAGCTTATAAGCAACAAAAGCCGCATGGAAGAAGCACACCAGCCTGTGCGATCACGAGGTGTCGAAGGGATCAGGTATCAGGCTTCATCAGAACAAAAAACCGTATCATAGTGAATGAGGGGGAGTGCGGAGTGGAGACACAAAGCCCATCTGTAGGCAATTGGACATCCCTTTACAGAAAGTTCATGGGCAGAAGATGAGCCAGTCAGTATGCAATGTAGCACTGATGAAATATGCAATTTCCAAATATACAAATTTGGAATACAAATATACAATATGAAATATACAATTTCCAAATATACAAATACAAAGCAACCCATGTATAAGAGAATTTTATGTAAAGAAAGTGTGCATCAAAAAAACATCCCAAGCTAATGCTGCCCAAGCCCACAAGTCCAACATTAACCCATTAACCCAACACCTGCCACAAAGTCCTCCATCTCACAAAACAGAGGCAATGATGCTGACTGCAGGAGGAAAGCTGAGTCAGTGAAAGAATAAGCATCTCAGCACTAGCAGGGGTCTCCACATGGCTGCTCCAGCACCCAGGGCTGCATCTGGATAGATCCATGTGGCTTCTCCTGGGATGTCTTGTAGGAAGTCAATCTTGCAAGCTGAAGCAGGGAACTGCTAAGGTAGCTACACCCTGATGTGACCATCACAAAGTGGTACCAGGAGTTCCTAAATGCTTCCTCCCCACCCATGCCCCTCCCCCCACTATCATGATCCCAATTCTAACTTACAAATCTGGCTAGACCAGAGGATGTACACTGGTACAGATAGGAACTGGAAATACAGGGAATGCAGGGCGGATGATCCCTTCAGGACCAGTGTGGTGAGTGGCGATACCTGGAGGGTGGGTTGGAAAGGGTGAACCGATTACAAGGATCTAGATGTAGCCTCCTCCCTGGGGGATGGACAACAGAAACATGGGTGAAGGGAGATGTCGGACAGTGGAAGATGTGAAAAAATTAATAATTTATAAATTATCCAGGTTCATGGGGTTGAGGGTTGCAGGGAGGGAGGGGAAAAATGAGATGCTGATGCCAAGGGATTAAGTGGAGAGTAAATGTTTTGAAAATGATGAGGGCAACGAATGTACAAATGTGCTTTACACAACTGATGTAGGTATGGATTGAGATAAGAGTTGTATGAGCCCCTAATAAAATGGTTTTTTTTATGAAAAGAAATGCTCACAGAAAGAGAGAAAAAGAAGAAAATTTGGAGAGGGATAACAGTAATGCTCGTACAACAGGAAGCGCACAATCAATGGCACTGAATAAGAGATGTAGAAATTGATGAACTGGGGATGTTTTGTTGCGTATATTTTTGTGAAAATTGAAATAAAATTTCAAGAATAAGAGTGAGTACAGAGAAAATGAAATTGTTCTATAATTGATTGTGTTAAAGATTGTAGAAGTCTTCTTGTACAATCAGTTGAACAATTGAATGGCGGGGTGTGTGGATTACGTGCCAAGAAAACTGTTTCAAAAAAAGACCACTGCCTTGGCTGTTCATTTGCATAGACTGCTCAGCCCATATTATCTTCCTTATCTTTCTTCTTGCTGTTTGAGAATCAAGTCCAAGGCAGTCCCAGAGAGCAGCCTTCCCGGAATTCCCCATCCTAGCCATTTGCTCTCATAGTTCCCCATCGGATGTTCTTCAGAGAATTCAGTGTTCGAGTGCAGCGCCAACCCACATGGAATGTAAGCTACTGGGCAGGGATGATCATGCATGCCTCACATGGACGCTGCAGGGATTTCACATAACAAAGAGCATCGCAGTTTATCTTTAAAACGGACAGTGAAACAGCGTAGAAGAAATACATAAAACAATGGCCAGGGGAAACAGGGACTGGATAAGGACAGAGATGACAAGAACCCGGTCCTTTGGAGGTTTCATTGTATGTTCTTCGGAGGATTCCATGCTCCAGTGCAGCATCAGCCCCTGTAGGGGGTACGCGGTGGGGCAGTGGTAATGCTGCACGACTCCAACAGACGCTGCGTAGACGTCACACAACAAACAACATCACTCTTTATTTTAAAGCTACAGAGAGTTGGGTGGCACAACAGAGAGCGAATCACAAGGATGAAGAAGGTGGTCAGAAGCTTGGCTACTGTGCAGTTGTCCTTGCAAGGGCTGTGCGTCCCTTAAAAAGGCATCCATCATAGCTCTGGGGGAGGGGTGGCGGAGTCAGGGCATCCTCAGAGCCAGGACGCCTGAGTGTCACCCCCAGGCCACCTTGCCTCTGCTGCACTGGGCCTATTTTCCAAGGCTTGGCTGTGGACACAGCGAAACTCTGTGAGGCCTGGTGTGATCCCAGTGGTTGTCATGGAGGTACCTGGAGTGGAGGAAGGACAGGCTACACACACCAGGACCGACCTGGAAACACTGAGCACACAGATGCCTTACTAATCT